CATCTGATTTCAACAGATTAAAATAGCGAAACCAGTAAGTGGTCTAAGGTTGTTTATAAAAAATGGATGTAGCCAATCTATGTATCTGAGGCTTTGTGAAACAAGTCTATATAATGTAAACCTTTAGATGATAATATAAATCAAGGCTTTAGAAAGGCTGATTCAAATAAAGCTTTATTTAATCCCACTCAGATTTGTTCTCCTAGTTTTCCCTGGCTGCTTGTCATACATGCATCACATCTTATTCAGTTGGCCGAGCATATAGCTCACCAGTTGAACAGCCTGTCACTCAAATGTATGAAACCATGAGCTTCTTTGCTTCTGCAGCACTAGGAGATATTGCATGTGTTTTATTATTGACTTTTATTATTGAAATGAGACATTTGACAGTGGGCCCTCTCGAATCATCTCAATACAACAAAAGAAGAAAGAGAAATGAGATTTGGCAGATTACCAGGGCACACCACCTGCGTTTCCTTATTCATCACAATATGACAATTTCCATGAATGTAAAAGCAGTCTTGCATGCATTCAGCTTAGGTTCACAAAAATTGCGATTATGATCTGATCAAAAAAACAAAACAAAACAAAGCAAAAGAAAGAAAAAGAAAATACTGCTGGTGTTGAGCTTGCATCTCTTCAGGGGCAGATGAGGTCAGGGTTGAATAAATGGAGGGGGGTTCTGTTCAGGAGCTTATTGTTTCGTGGCCCATTGTGAACTTATTCAGTAGAAGATGCTGGTATTATTCAGTCAAACGTGCTTGCAGCAGCCATATCGTAGTGCTGTTTAAAGTCTGTCTGGAGCTAATGTAATGCTGGAATTGTGTGTGTGCATGTCTTCTCTGTGTGTTGGCTTCCATTTGCTCACAATGACACCATATCTGTCAGATTTAGCTGTGAGGCTGAGTGCTTTCCATCTTATCTCTGTGCAGCAAACACAACCATTCAAAAGTACAGCTAGATGCAAGCTCACCCATAGAAACATTTGCTGTTATCGCTTGGCTTTTCTTATCTCTCCTATTGGATTTCAAAAGAGGAAACAACATTTAACCATCTTAGTGGCTAACTGATAAAACCTTTTGACACTTTTAAAAGGTGACCAGACATATAGAGAATATTAAATGCTTTAGGCCAGATGCTGTGCTACTTTCAGCCCGCTCTCAAGACATATAACAATCATTTCTTCATCATGGTCCACTAGTAACCCTTCATAGGCAATGGTGTGTGAAATGCCTGCATCAAAGGCAGTAAAATATTACAGAGAGCTTGGAAGTGAGGCTTGATAGTACCAAATTCTTTCTAGTCATTAAAGTAAAATATCAAAGCAAATTTTAACATTTCAGACTTGACAAAGAAAGGGACAGCTTACTTGGACTAAAGTAAATCTAGGATAACACTGATATTCAATTCAATTCAGTTTTTGTTAATTAGCATCAAATCATAACAACTGAAAAGGCACTTTGTAATGTAAGGTAAAAACTACAATAACATGAGAGAAAAACCCCAAATGAGCAAGCACTTGGTGACAGCGGGAAGGAAAAACTTCCTTTTAAAAAGAAGAAACTTACAGCAAAACCAGGCTCGGGCCATGTGCCGTGACTGATTGAGGGTGATTGAAGGAAGACAGGAAGGGAGAAAATGCCTTGTTGGTGTTAGAGAAGAATGGCCAGACTACTTTCAGCTGATAGGAAGGTAACAGTTATTTAAATAACCACGCAAAAGATCATCATGCCTACGCCTAAACCAGCAGAACTCCACATTGGGTGCCACCCTTATCAGCTAAAAACAGGAAACTTGGACAAAAACAGAAAATAGAAAAATGTTGCCTGTTCTGATGATTCTTGATTTGGATGTTAGCATCAGAATTTAGTGTAAACAACATTAAAGCATGGATTCATCTTGCCTTTTATGGGCGTTTCAGGCTGCTACTGGTGGTGTAATGATGTGGCGGATATTTTCTTGGTATACTTTAGACCCCTTAGTACCAACTAGACGTATTTTTAGGCACCACACCATACCTTAGTATTGTTGCTAACCAGGTCCATTCCTTTGAGGTCAAAGTGTAGCTCTCCTGATGACTGCTTTTAGCAGGACCATATGCCATGTCACAAAGCTCAATTGGTTTCTTGCACTTTGCTGAATCTATGTCATCAAGAATTAAGACAGTTCTGGAGACAAAAGGGGACCCATTGATAGCGAGACGTATCTGCTGGTCCAACCTATCTGGGAAGACAGCACTAGCTAAAGATAAGCTAAGCTACATTTTCTTTACTAATTACAATTACTCAAAAATCTGTATTGATGCTGTAATGTGTTAAGACATCAGTTTGTTATAGCTACAGACAACAGATAATTTCAAGCATACTTTATATAAAAAGTACATATTAAAGATATCTTACTAATTACCTAACTATTGCAGAATTAGCAGCAGTAGCAGCATCTGCTACTCTATAGAATTTGTTTGGCACTGTTAAGCTCCCTTTAAATAAATAATTTAGATATTATATTAGAAATTAGATATACAGATATCTTGATATGTTATTTTAATTCAATTTTAAGTTTTGAAACTTTATTTTTTCTATTCATAAAATGAAGTTTGGAAAATGGTAAACCTTAAGTACAACTATAAAACGGTCAAACAGTAGGCTTTTGATACTTATTCGACTTACTGATCGTCTTATTGCCAACACTACGCTCGCTGAACACCTAAAGAAACACAACATGAACTACAGTATACAAAATTCATTCCACTCCAGGTGTAGCAGACCGCTTTGGACCTCGACCTTTCGGGAAGAATGTTTGGACAGAAAAGAAGCTTTAGTTTAAGTCTACTGGGAACGCTTTTTATTGGCAATGATAACCTTTAACTTCAGAAGTATATGAAGGCTCTGCTTAGATTGTTGGTTCATTACAGCTGTCCCCATGGGCCCCCTTGAACTGATGCTATTTTTAACACCCTCTTGGAGCTTCTGCGGGTCATATAGATGATGCAATGCTGTAATATTGTCTCTTTGTCACCTTGGTCACAGGAGCATGCTTCAGTAATGAGAAAGGGATCTTGTCATCAAAATGGAATTACTTCTTCATATTGATGGAATCTGCACGCCTATATATATGTCTTAATACACCTAGTGCTTATGGATGCACTGCTCCCATATATGCTTATTCACACCCCCACACACATACAGATAGAAAGGTAGATGCTGTGACTTAATTAAATTCACAAGTTAAAAACGCATCAACAGCAGGGAGCTGCAAACACGCAAGAAAAAGAAATACATAAATTTACTTTGTGACTCAGAAAATGTCTCCACAGTCCACATCTTAATTGTCTCAAAGCTTTAAAACATTTTTCGAACTTGTCTGCATCTCTTTATCTCCTCATTTGTGGCTTAATTATCCCAAAAGCCATAGATTTAATGCATATGATCTTCAAAATGCGCAATTCACAAGCACTTGCAGACAAACACACATGCACGTAAAACCTACACGTTCTGAGTCATTATCCCCGGTCTTTGTCACATCTGCTGGCTATTAATCTCGCCCATTTACCTCCTCAATAGTCAGGTTGAATAGAGGAACAACAGCAGGTAAACACGCCGGCAGGTGTACCCGAACAAACAGTTTCGGCCTTACAGAGCATTCCTACTGATTGGAGATTAATGTGCCCATCTGGACCTCATTAGAACTTAAATATGTGATGAAACTTTCTCGACACGTTCTTTAGGATGAGCATAAACAGAGTAAACTGGGACTTTTCAGTTACAGGTTTTGATTTCAAAGGTGTAGTTGCCAGGATTTGGTGTGTAATGATGAACTTGTGTTAGTCCTAAAAACAGCAACAAATGTCACATATGAGTGCAACATAATAGCAAAAACCAGTTGTACAAAACACAGATTTTGCTGCTAATGAGCACTTCCCAGAGGGTCGGTTGTCTGACCAATGCTAAATGTCAGCACAGGTCAAAATTCTGTAGGTCAATTCTGTAAAAGTGTTAAGGTGACATTGAGCTCATTAAAGAAATAGGTACATAAGAATATACAGAAACTGTAGTGACTTGACTGGATCAACTGGAGGACCATACGTTGTTTCTGTGTTTCATTTATTTAGGCTTATAACAATTCTCCAGATCCACAGATTGGTTCATGCTTTGGTTTATCTTTAAAGGAGATCTTTACACTGTTTACACTCCAAGTTAAAGCACAAACATGTCCACTCATAGGGTAGGAATCACGACACTTTGGTAATGAATTTTTACCAGCATATCTGTTCTCAGTTGCTTCTCCTGTGGCTCAACATTTTCTGATCTTGCGATTTAAGTAAGTGCTACTTGCTAAAACTGGTGCTCCCAGTGGGGTGAAGTCTACTCACTCCACTTTGCTCATTTCCCTAAATCATTATTATTATTCTGCATCTGCATCTAATGGGCCTAATGGTTGGGATTCAGAGTAAATAATGCATCTGAGTTAGACTGATTTGCAGAAGAACATGAGGCAAAACTGCTCATTAAAGCATGCTTAGGGAGTATTCTCAAAAGCATTCTCTGTATTTTCTAGTACAGTCTCTGTGGATTTACTACCAGTTGAAAGGTTAGCACATTTTTGAATAACTGGTCAACAGTTAAAATGTTTGAACCTGCTGGGAAAAGTGTGCTGCGTTGTTAAAAAAAAACAAAACAGGAGAGTGCTATATGTAAGGTGCTCTCGGCATCAAGAATTACAGGCAAAGTGCCCTTTATAAAAGCACTTAACTAATGTGGTAGTTGCTTCATTGGAAGCTATTAGTGCTTAACTGTGGAGAGTTATAGCTGTACTGAGATTTCCAGGTGTGAATTTGGAACCAGTTGCTCCTGAAAAGAGCGTGGATGGCTGTCAGATGCATCCTGGATTAACAAAAAAACACTGGGATCTTAAATACAAGGCTTGTTTCCTTTGCTTTCTCACAGTGACACATTGCAAGACTCACTTCCTGAAACTATTTGCTTTCTGTTTCCCCCCAGGTAAATGGTTTGGCCAAGGTCGAACATGATGAAGCAGTGGTGGAGGCCATCAGGCGAGACCCTATCGTTGTCCAGGTTCTCCGACGTACCCCCACCAGAGCCGCGGCGGCTGTCGTACAAAACGGCACCAGCTCGCCGCAGGACGTGTGTGTGGTCGATGTGTGCACGCAAACAGACATCACCTTTGAACATATTATGGCACTGGCCAAGCTTCGGCCTGCTACCCCACCAGTCCCTGACATTTGTCCCTTCCTGCTGTCTGACAGGTGAGGGCAAGCATTTACGTAAAGGTAAATGAGTGTTAATGTTACACAGGATGGAGATCCTTCCTCTAAATGTTTTTAACCACAACTAGGGAATTATACTCTTCCTGGCCCAAATGAATCTGAAGCTTACCGGAGGTTTCAACGCCGTTTTCTTTCATTTCCTAGTAGCTATTAAGCAGCCGTATCATGGTTTGGAAACCCCCTGGAACGCTAAGTACTCTGATATCATTATGCAGAGCCAAACCCGCATGTAATAATTGCTTCGGTGTGCTACATCCATTTTCTGTAATGGGACCTTTTGCTGGGCGATTAAAAGCCAATGGGCTGATAGAGCAGGCATTTTGATGCTACATCCATTCTGTGGCTGTTTACAGGGCTTGGCTTGGCAACAAATGAAATCACTTTGTCCCATAAAACTACGAATATGCTAGTCGTGGTCAGTGATTACAGAGAGGCTGTTACATTGTGACAATTTTGCAGAGGTCATGGCTTTATGAGGGCAATAGTTGATTACCAAATTGCTTGTTTGGAGTTTTGTGGTGAAATGAGAATCATTATTAAGAAATGTGATATAAAATAATAACTTACAATAGCTGGCAACATAGCTGTCCTTTATATGAAATTATACAGCCCTTGTGTGGTGTCTGCAATATCGCTACATGGATTTGAACAACGTCTGTCTATTTAATGATCTGACTAAACTGAAATAAACTGCCATGAAGCAAAGAGATAACCAGCACATATTTTAATGATCTTTAACATTCTACTTTTTCTTCTTTCTAGCTGTCACTCAATCCACACTATGGAACATGAGTTTTATGAATGTCCAGAGTACCTGTCTAACACCACAGCAGATGTGGAGAGGATCGTAGAGTATGAGTATGAGGTACAGTCTTGCATCATCTTTTCAGTGATCACTCTTAAGAGTATGTGTTACATTTTTTCTAACCAGCCACCGTTAGGGACCTCTTCCTCGCACCTCGCATACACAAACGTCTTTGCTAAAAGAAAACAAAATCACCTTTTTGTTTGAACCTACACCAAATTTACAAATGAAAAGAACTTAGTGGAACAATAAGATAAAGAAAACCTTGCATCCTTTAGACAAACAAACATGGGGATAATATATGCTATGAAATGATCTGGATGGACAACCTATAATGAGATAATCTGGCAGCTAGCTAGGCTAGACTGTTTAGGTTAGGTTTTAATTTTACGCTACAATTCTAGGAGTCCATAGCACTAGCAATAACACAGCCCTAACATTTGCTTTTACAAGATCAAATTTCCATTATGAGTGTTTGTGTACAACACTGAATTCAGTTATAACAAAATGAAAGCAGTTGCCACCTTGCAGTGCAATAAAGTAATTGTTTAACTTAATAGCAAAAACTGTAGCAAAGTTGACAAAATTAGCTTAAAAAAAACTGCTGTGAACTCAGACATGTAGATTTATTTACACAAGTGGCCAATCCTGCTATACAAGTACACATGTACTTCTTCCATAGGAATTAGGTGGGTAAGTAAGCCAGGTTCTTTACTACTACAGACCTCTGAAACAATGCACTTTAAACATATGATATCAAAGTGGTAATGATTTGGGTTTGTTTTGCAGCCACAGGACATGGGCACTTTGCTGTCATTGAGTTGACCATGAACTACACTGTATGCCAAAATATTCTTATTCTGGAATCAAATGTGAGGCTGTCTGTCTAAAACTTGGTACTGCAACAGGGCAATAATCCCAACAGCAGACCTACGAGAGAATAGCTGAAAAAGAAATGAATCAAGGTGTTGCAATGGCTCCGTCCAGAGATCAACCTGACTGAAATACTGTGTATGGACCTTACAGAACAGTGCATAAACACGTCTGCAAACCTTAATGAACCGAAGCAGTGCTATAAAGAATAGTGGGCCAGAGTTCCTCCACAACAAAGTGAAAGACTGATAAAATCAGACAGAAAATAATTACTTCAAGATATTTCTGGTTCTACAAGCTCTTGGATTATTGGGTTGTCCTTAGTTTTTTACAGTAATGCAGAGAGTCCTGTGAAACCTTTTCACATAACGGCACATATTTCTGCATTCTTAAAGTTTTCTCCTGGCACCAGCAGTTTAAAATTCATAAATTAAAATACCAAAATCTGATATTTGATCACGACCAATGGCATTTCCAGTTTACATCCTTTGCTTTCTGCTATTTCTTTCTTGTTTCTGCAACTGACTTTCCAATAAAAGTCCTTCAGTACGCATCAAAACTCTATCTGTACCTAAAGACAGACATTGCACAATACCTGTGGAATAAAAACCTCATTTAGCTAATGATGTTATTTTAATAAGAACAGATAAAACTTATTTTCCATTGATGTAGGAGAACAGAGGACACCATGAGTCAGTTATACACAATCTAAGAGGATAATACAAGGTTGGTCAAGATGTACGATGCTCACAAATCTAACAATACAAGAAAAACTGCAGACTGCAGTAATAGAAGAAAATTGGCCACCCCTTGTCAAAGCAGCATCTGCTCTTTAGATTGTTTTGTATAGCATAGCAAAGTCCCTGGATTTAGTGCGGAAGGCCATTCTTCATATAATTGTACAAAAAGAAAATCCCTCTCTGAAAAGCCTCCCAGTTGAATTACCTGTATGTTTTATTCACAGGCAGTTAGTTTCCCTTTTATCACGAACTGTCTGTCAGAAATATTTGTGTGCCTTTTCAGTCAGTCACTTCAAGCTGAATAGAAATTGTGAATAGAGCAAGCACTCATTGTTTCAGTGAGAGGGAAAAAAAACTTGTAGATGAAATCTGTGGCATTTTAATTAAAGTGGCTAATCATTTCAAACAGCATCTGTTGTATATCATAACAAGAGTCTTTAGCCGTGAAATTCAAGGCAAGTTCTTTGCTAATGCCAGAATGTTAACATGTTCACAGTATATACACAGCTATGCAATATTTAGCATGTCAATTATAATTCTAGCTTCTTATGACTGCCTAACTAGCTATTAGCTGAAGCTGAAGGGAATTTCAATTGTGAGGTCATTGTTTTAGACCAGTAATTAACTTGTTAAAGTTAGGTGTCAGGGGACCACTTAAAATACACTAATCATTCATCACGTTTAGCTGACAAGGCATTTAACAAACAAGCACAAATGTGGTGCTGCCTTATAGGTGCTATTGTAAACGTGACGGGATCATCATTAAGATGTGTTCTCTGGGCACCAATAATGACAAACCACAGCTGTGCATATTCCAAGGCAATGCGTCCCAGATCAGGACCATGTGTATTGAGCAAGGTTTTGTTAGCAAACTGCTAAAAGAATTTATCACAACCCACTTCGGTATGTACACCTGTTTAACTGCTTGTTAATGCTAATATCTAAATAGCTCATCAAATGACAGCAACTTGATGCATTTAGGCATGAAGACAAAGTCAACATGACTACTGCAGCTAAAGTTCAAACCGAGCAAGAAAGGAGAAAGAAAGATGATTTAAGTGACTTTGAACATGGCATGGTTGGTGATACCAGACAGGCTGGACTGAGTATGAAACTGCTGATCTACTGAGATTTTTCTGCACAATCATCTCTGGGTTTATAAAGAATGTTCTGAAAAAGAAAAAATCAATTCAGCGGCTTATCTTATCTTATCTTAATCAGACTGCTTATAGCTGATAGGAAAGCAGTAGGAACTCAAATAACAGTATCTCTGAATGCGCAACATATTCACCCTTGAAGTAGATGGGCTACTTCAAGGGTTCCATTTACCATTTACAGCAGTAAAAACCAACACTGGGTGCCATTCCTGTCAGCTGACAACAGAAAACTGAAGCTATAATTCACACGGGTTCACCAAAATTCAATTTCTTCTATGAAAATGAAACAGGATCAGAATTTGGCATCAGATTTGTCATGAATCCATACTGCCTTGTTTTGGCCCTAACTATACATTGTTTAAAGCCACAGCCTATCTAAGTATTGCTACTGACTCTGTCCATTCACAGTTTACCGGCAGTATCTTCTGTTGGCTGCTTGCAGCAAGGTAGTGTGCCATGTCACAAAGATTAAATGATCTCAAACTGGTTTCTTGAACATAACAATTTATATATGTGTGTGTGTGTGTGTGTATATATATATATATATATATAACAATTCTGTAACTGTAACTTCGGTCGTTGCTGTGCTTTTTGGAAGTCGAATTTCCCAGAGGAACCCACCCGAGGGATTAATAAAGTTCTATCTTATCTCTTATGTACTCAATTGGCCTCCACATTCACCACATTTAAATCCAATAGAGCACCTCTGGGATGTGGTGGAGCAGGAGATTCACATTATGGATGTTCAGCTGACTAATCTGCAGCAGTTGTTTGCATATATATACTATCGTGCCAGTATGGACCAAGTATCTGAAGAAGAATTAAAAAAGTTCTCAAGGCAAAATGGGGTCCAACCTGATACTTGGTGTGCCTAATAAAGTGCCCATTGAGTGTATATTGTTTGGTTGAGTGGATGATTTATGCTTATTGTTCTTAAATTTGCTAATCTCTAAGTTTCTTTTTCCTTCTTACTAAAATCTTGTGATTAAAAGAGCACATTTACCACGTGCACTTGCAAGTGTCTCCATTGTGACAGATGAACCGTACCAATCAGCCAGTAGACCTCAATATCATGCCAGGTGACAGTGATGGGTGATATTTGCTACTCCCGAGGTGCCTTCGCTGGTTTAATAGGCACTTCCTGGTTCAGTGAACTGCATTGTGGGTCATTAGGGTATTGTCTGCTGCCAGCTGTGGTCTTACCTTTACAGTCGTCTGGATAAAAGATTCTCCTGTGTGGGTCTGGGGAAGGTTGAGGAGCGGAGGGCTTGTGTGTGGTAATAGCAGTAGTATCAGAACAAGGTCAGCACACACATCTATGCACAAGCACACACATCAAATCAGCTGTCTACACTTTCCTCTGTCCATTCATGTGTATCTAACTGAAACATGAATTGCTTTCCTGTTGGATGAAACAGAATAGGGCTGCAATTCCCAGGAACATTACTTCTGACTGACAGGTTTAGCTTCACTTCAGTTTGATCGTACACATGGGTACCCCTGCAGTCATAATACCCTGCCAAATGTACCATACCACAATATCGTCAAGTAGCAACAGACTTTCAAAGTAGTTTTTATGTGGATGCTTTGATTACTATTCTAAAAGATAAAGTTCACAGTTGAATAGCAAGCCATTGCAGTTAGGGTACCCAGTACCATGCGGGTATGGAAATGGGTATTTTCTTCAGACACATCTTTTATATCCACCTACCAGGCAAAGTAATATTGAGGAACAACGGATTTTAATGAAGACTCAGTGTGATCACTAGGTTGCATAGTGTGGTTAATAAAGTGGCAGCTGCCTGCCAGACAGCATTCAGTTATCTGTTTGCCAAATTAATCCTGTTCTAATGTCGTAATTATGGACTGTCAACAGGTGCCAAACTTCAAATGCTGAATTTTTAATCTTCCAAACCAAGATTGAAGCAAATACTGGTATGCAAACAGATGTGCAAGAACAAAGGGTCCTATTGAGCGCTGGGTTGTGGAAGTATAAAGCAAAATGAAAAAAATGCAAAAAGGCCTAGTACCACTTTCTCTGGATCAAAATGAAACAAATTTGAAAGAATTGAGAAAAAACAAACGTACGATGAAACTGCAATATTTCTGCAGTTATTTCGAGCTGTAACTAAACTCTCTGCAGCAGGTACATTTCTGTGTTTCAAAACCCACAGCCCCAAATTTATAGCTTGGTTTTTGGACACTCTGCCCCTAACAAACAGTATTTCCTTATAAAGCTGGTAAAGACTACTACTACTACAGTCACATCCGCTTAATTCCCTAATGCTTAATCAGTTGAATTCAACTAAGCTGAAATATCTCTAACATAACTAACAGTTAAAAGCTGAAAAGCTCAGTGAAGCTGAAGCAAAATGTGAACACTAAGCCTGAAAAACAAGTAAAATACAGAATGAACAAATGTACTATTACCTATTTACCGCAATAAATGGCAATCAGTGGGAAGCCTGTCATTTAAAATCATCCACAATCTTTTTCGGATTGACTGAATTATGATCAATATAAATTCAAAGACCGCTACTTCGAAACAGCTAAAGCTGAAAGGATATCATCAGCATCATCATCAGCCACAATGAGGACACAATGAGGCAGTGAACATTACACTTGGCAGCTATTTCTTTTAAAATGAAACATGAAGTAACAGTTAAGTGCATATAAAAGTGAAATGTTACTACCAGATGTTTAATGTGGTAATAAAATGCCACCCATTGTCAATGTGTCGTTATTTCTCCCATATATTTGTAACATGTGGTAAATGTGATCCTCCCTATTTAGGCTGGGAAACCACATCAGTTGTCATATGCATTGCAAGCCGGATGAAATGACTTTTTAAGTCATTGCTGTGCCATGCTCCAAACTCAGCGGCACAGATTATGATCCAATCATCACTAATCAAATCACTTCATAGCTTTAGCACCCGTGGATCCAGGCATCCAGTAATCCACTGAAACCTGGCGAACCGCCCAATGTGCACTGACGTTAGGCATTAGTGCTGCCTGATCTCACTGCATGCAGCTGTTATTTCACTGCCAGGGGCTGTACAAATCAACCAGTGTACTAAACTGCTGAGGAGTGTGGCTTGTCAAAACCAGCACATGGTGTTGCAATATTGTAAACTCCTTTGCACGCCCCACCCAACCTCTGAAGGTCAGGGCTGCTTCCACAGGGGGATAACATGCCAAAGAAATTAATTTCTTCCCCCTGTCAATCTTTGCCATCGTTGCTTCCCATGACAGAAAAAAAGGGGGCTGGGGATTTTTAATTCTTGCCCCCTATGAACACCACACCCACCCTCAGCGTCTTTATACCCCACAATCTATCCCACACAATCCATCCCCCACCCCGCCTTTCATATCACAGCAGTGAAATGAATTTGGCACTGAGGGGTTAATAAAGATTACCGTTGGAGTTATCTTATGCATTACATTTAGACACAGCTGAGATCAAAAGGAACCAGTTGTGAGTCAGGCTAAATTGAGAGAAAATTCCTGTGGGAGGGTATCAGTGAATGAAATGGCATCAAAACAGCCATCAAAGATCTGCACAGTATGCTGCCACATGTTCGGTTTACGTTTGACAGACTTTCATGTTATTGATTGACAGATCGCTTGACAGGGCTCCATTTGAGCCTATATCTATATATATGATGTCATGCGATACTTGGACTATATAAATTATTGTGCTGTATGTGTTTCTGCTTGCTTATCGTGTTTGGTGATCACTGCAGTTATATGTCTCTTTAAAGCAATACCCGGTAAAACAACGTGGAACTGAAAAACCTGCTCGGCCTGTAGATTCTCAATGCTGAAAATACCCAAATTCAAAAGGCTTCCTTACAAATCTTCTGCTGATTAAAAATTCTGTTATCAGTACGACTGACTAGCACCCTGCTAATCTGGCAACAAGCTGCAAAGACTGATAGGTTTTTGTACACGATAACACAATGACTGACTGCACTATAAGTCTTTACTCAGAAAGTATATAAAGTCAAGTAAGAAAGAAAGTTTTCAACGGACTCTGAAGAATGTGCAGTCTCGTGAAAAACTGCCTTGTGGAATCACCTTTACCTGCAATAACTTGAAGGTCTTGATTCTCTTCTGTTTTTAAGCCATTCTGTTGAAGATTTGCAGGTGTTGTAGTAGTAATCATTGTCCTGTTGCATGACCCAGTTTGGGCCAAGCATTAGCTGTCAGACAGAGGACCTCACTCTAGAATACTCTGGTATACAGAGGAGTTTGTAGCTGACTCAATGACTGCAGTCTGTGTCCAGATCCCGCGGCTGCAAAACAATACCTTTCTTTTGAGTAAAATGGTCCCGATCAAAGAGTCCTTACTGTTTTTCTTTTTATGTGTGTGCGTGTTTCTGCAACAGGAAGTGGAGCTATGCAGGCAGAACAGCCAAGAAAAGCTGGGCCTGACACTGTGCTACAGGACTGATGATGAGGAGGACACTGGGATCTATGTGAGCCAGGTGGGGACAGAAACAACACTTCTCATAGAAAACTGTCCTGCAGTGAAGCCCTTAAAAATAAAAAATGATTAAATTCAATAAGAGACAAAGCTGCCTGATCACGTAATAAACCGGGGCCCCATGATCAGCTTTGTTTGGAGTGATAAAAAGTCAAAGAAAGGATGAAATCACAGAAGAATTCTTGTTTTTACATACGAAAGCAGAGCACATGTTTGCTAGTCAAATATAAACTCAGAATAAGACATGCATGAACAAAAAAGGAAGTCAGCTTTGAAATGTGATTCCCTTCCTGACTTTCTCATTCCCTCCTCTTAAACAAGTTTGAATTGAAGGTTTTAATAAGCTCTGAGCGACAACCCCCAACACACAATATATTAAATGGCACATTTAGTGGAATCCACCATCTGAATGCCAAACGCACAAATGAAAGAAGAAATGCATTACGGATGTTCTTTTTTTTTTATTCAAATGATTTGCGCTGCTTCCTGTTGAAAAAAAAAACCTTAAATAACACAAAATGAAAACAAATTATTACATTTTTCCATGACAGAGCTGAATGAATGATAGAATTATAGGGGCTGCGAAACGAATTCAATAATGTTCAATGTTTAGTTTGACTGCAGGTGCAATTTCAATCCCATTATGAACACAAAAGGCAAGGCTGGGAAAAGTAAGAGCTACAGTGAGGATTAGCTCAGCAACATAAGGAGATAAATGGCAGAAACACAAAGACATGCAGTGTGGTTAGCTCATTTTCAGTCTTTTCAGAAATAATTTCATACACACTGTAACTCTGCGAGATGTCACTTATTCCTCCGGTTTTTCACCTGTTAGTTTTCGAAAAGCATGAAAAGGAGAAAAAAAGGGAAAGAAAAAAAGCGCAGGCACCTGCTGAACCTCGGCAGATTGTGACGGCTCCAACCGGCATAACAGATCTATTTTTATACATTTGATAGAAGGATAGAAATGCTAATTCCCAGTATTATAATGCATGCGGTATTGGTGTAACTTCCAGAAAGGCATGCTTTTTTTTCTTCAACCCCACTCCACCAAGTTTCGCTTTTTCTGCATATCGCTAAATCTCTTGATCTTCAATGCAAGAACAACAAAGTTTATGAAGTAGTTGTTGAGGGCTTTGGGTGGTGCCGTAGCTTATATGCATATCCACTGAGATGCATTTTGAAAAATATGCACTGCTGCTTCATTCTGCTAAACACAACGATGTTTATGCCACAAACACATGTTTTTAGTTTCTTCTTTCCCTTCTTTCTCTCATTGCTTTTATTCACTGCTTCATATGTATCTCCATTTCCTTTACATGACACAAGTACCTGAGAAAATCAACCTGCATCATATCAAAAATAGGAGGCAAGAAAAATGAGTGTCATTTCTATATCAAAAAACAGACTTTTCTCCAAACATGACATAAAAGAGCGGCGGTGCAAGTGTGGTGCATCGCTGCTGTCTTTTCGAGATACAGAGCTGCGTGGTGATTGGCTGTCAGCATTGATTTTCAACTTCTTTTGTGCAGGTTGAGCCGAACAGCATAGCGGCAAAAGACGGGCGCATAAAGGAAGGAGATCGTATTCTGCAGGTGGGTATTTTCATGTCAGTGCCCGAAGTACATGAACAGCAGGTTATGTTATGAACTGACTCTGTGTCTGTGCGCAAGTATTCTTCACAGTCACATCACTGGCAGCATGTGATCTTGTACAACTGAACAAGACAAAAAAAAATAAAAGAAAACAGCAATACTCTGTTTTTCTATGTTTAATCTGGACGTCCGCCAGCTTGTTTTCGAGGCGGTCCTTTTTAGAGAATATCCAAGCGGCTGGTGTCTCCAGTCTTGGAAAGCTTATGTATTTTTAATCACCTCGTTTTACCAGGGAAATTAAAGTCCTTAGCTGCAGTTACACCAGGCATTACATCAATTCTAGGATCGCTGTCTTTCTCTGGCAATTTCTCACTGTTCCTCGTTATGCAGAAACAGCCATGGGGTCACAGTGCGTACAGTGTAAAGATGGCACAATTAGCTGTGTATAGACGAGACGGGCTGTCAGCACTTTATTTATTAACGGTGAGAAATGTCAGTATTTTCAGTAAATTGTTGTGAGGCCTAAGGGGTTTTAAACAACAAAACATGTGCAGTTCTTTACCTTCAATTCAATGTTATATATATAGCGCCACATCACAACATCAGACTGAGTTAAGGTACTTTATATTGACTGCACAAAATAAAAATAAAAAGCTGAGAAAACCCTACAATCATGTGACCTTCTATGACCAAGTGATTTGGCGGCAGTGGGAAAGAAAAACTTTTTTAACAAGAAGAAAACTCCAGCAGAACCAGGCTCAGGGAGGTGTGGCCATCTGCCACGACCAATTGGGAATGATCAGATGAAAACAGGACAAGACAAGACATGCTATGGAAGAGAGCCAGATATGAATAATAACTAATTACTATTTGATATTACATTTAAATGTCTTAAATAATTTTCCTACTGGTATGCAGGATAAACAGTGAAAGGGCTTGCAGGTGTGTGTGACCAAGGTCCCTCGTTGGGTCTTACGCTGAGCTGCTTGATGGATTTTATGTTTTTATTTTTTGATCTACAGCCTGTTATTTTGCATTTTCTTATATTCATACACATGTTCAGATAAAATATGAATTAATATGTCAGTGCATATCAGTAAGTGCATGTATTTCTACATTTATTTAAATACCCTCATAGTACTCATGCAACTAATTCACTGTAAATGTAAATGCTTTCTGCTTCATTGGCTTGCACCAATATGTTGCTGGGCTGTTTAAGCCTCTAGAGACGCACAGTCTGTGAGGTGTGCTGCTGGCTTATAGAACTGTTTGCCTCTGGCCTTTAAGTTCTTTAGAAGACAATTAAAAAATGAGGCTTCAAAGCAATCACTTATCTTTAGATTTTACTGTGTCTCAGGAACTCACAGTGATTCAGAGGGATAAAAACTCAAGAGTTCTCAAAGCATCTATCTTAAACACTTAACGCAGACTTAATATTATTTTTTTAGCATGTTACAGAACTGATCTCTTTCTGACGCAAAATCAGATCATTTCAATCTAACAATCACAACTTTGTTGTTTTTTAATATGTCTTTACCTGCACCTTTTTCTCCTTCCCAACATCCCATCCTCTGCTTCTTTTAAGCGTGTCTCAGTATAATCCTTCACATTTCGGTTTCTGTTGTTGTCTCCCCCAAAACACCAACACGTTTTTTGTATGAATTTCCTTTGATTTTTGTTTTTAATTCCATGTGTTGAATTTACCTTCTATTATTGTTGTTTCTTCTATTTCTTGTTTCTTTATTTCGTTCTTTGTGTTTTGTGAGCTTTTACAGTATTTTCTATTTGCTACTGTTTTCACAAGTTGCAATTGCATTTGACCTCTCTGGGCCCCCGTACTTCTGGACTTTTATTGGGACAGTATCTCACCGCAACCTTACGACATACCTTGCCTCTATCACTTTACCAAACTCTCTGATGGCAGTTTTTGCCTTTTCTTTGGCAGTGGCTTAAACAGTCCTAAAGAGTGGTTGTGGTTTGCACCACAAAACAAAGTGACCCACACTGTTCCTTTTTTTTTTTATAACAAGTGGAAAATGACAGGTGGATCGTGTTACAGCCAGCAAGTGCAGTGTTAGATCCCACCACAGCAGCCTGGATCTCATTTTTCTGGTGGACACCCTGAATGTGTAGCCTATGACATTCACACAAAGGAGTTATTTATTCATATTGCATAAATCAGATAAGTCGTCTTATTATTGATGACCTCGGTAAGCAACATCTCAACTTGCTTCTAGTCTGAACAACAATATACCAACATTACTCCTCCTCCATATTTATTGCATTCAGCACTCCATTCTCTCTACACTGTTTCTGTTTCCCGGTACTATGAATGATTGTGGGGAGCAAGGCCTGCTGTACTCCTGGCCCTATTATCTTCTTCTGACAGGCCCATTACTCTAGTGAGGAAAAGATGAACGCCACCTGTCAAAGAACAGTTAATTGTATGTCTGGATGGTTTGGTGAGAGTAGACTCTTGTGAGGTCGGACTATGCACTCTCGAGTGAGTCTCTTTGCTATGAGTGCAACAGCGAAGACGTGGAGAGTGCCAAGAAAGAAATGTATTAAAAAAAGAGAGGAGGAATGGAGGAAGAAAAGGGTATAAAGGGGGATAAAGATCAAAAGACAGTGTGGTCAAGGTGGCTTGCTAAAACATTTGAATTCATTTTATTTGTGGTAGGTATATGGAGAAAAAGCATTTAATTTCTTTTGTAAGATATGCAGACTGTTGTGTATCAGTTCTTTCTCACTGACAGAACCATCTATTCTCATCTTGATGTACAGATAAATGGCTGTGAAGTACAAGACAGAGAGAAGGCTGTTGCCCTGTTGTCAAGTGAAGAAGCAAGGAGCATCACACTACTGGTGACAAGGCCAGAAATCCAGGTAAACACACATACACACCTACGCAGCCTTCCTGCCCTATCTTGACAGCCTGTGTCATGTCAAATAAAAGCACTTGCCTCCCGTTCCATTCCTGTCAGTGTGATTGGAGTTCCTGCTGACACACAAACACTTTCATTCAAAGCCAAAGAGAAAGAGGGAGGTTTCTGACAAGATGTTGTGATTTCAGTTAGATGAGGAGGCTGGATGGCTGGACGATGAGCAACAGGAGCTCATGGAGGAGATCCTCGAGGAGAGGAGGAAGCAGAAGGAACATGGCTTTGACAGGGGAGATGAGGTAAGATGGTACGCTAAGTGAAGCAACCAACAGACAAAGTGTCCATTAAAAGTACAGTGGTGAAGAGAGACTGTTTTGGCGTTGTTCTAGGCTAAGGAGGGGAGGAGGCGCGAAGGCCCCAAGACAGACCCAGGAAATGCTGGAGTGATTAGATGTCTGGGCTGTGTTGTGTGTCTATTTCGGTGATTTTATATTGGGGTCAAAACGAACCAGACAAACAAACACAAAAACCCCCCCACAAAAAATGTTTACTGAAAAATATCAAAAACTAAGAAATACCGGGGCAAATGGGTGGTAAATAAGCTATTAAGTAATTATACAGATTGTACTTGAAAAAGCAGCAAGTTGTATAAAGTATTAATAAAATATTTTTTTAGAAAATATGCAAATTAATTGTAATTTTGAACAAATAATAATAATGTTTTTTTCTCTATATTAATTACATAACTAATTATGCTTTGAGATGAAATATGTTTTGCTATCATCATCATTATTAATATTATTATTATTTTGCTTCTCACTGTAAATTAATGTATGTTACATATTTAGGTAGATGAGGGTTAAGCTAAGGTTTTTTAGCATGAGAACCTGTTTGACCGAGAAAGTGAGGTCTGGACGTTCTTGACTAGTTATTTTCACCACCTGCTGTACTTGACTGACCCTCAACATGTACTTTGGAAAACAATTCAGACATTGCCTTTGCTGCTGTGCCGATATTATCCTAAAACAGCAGTTTAGGTATCTGCAGGCTTTTAAATCCTTATGCACCACCTAGCTTAACTTCATGTAGTTCATTGAAACCTTGATGGTGTTAGTTTTTTTAATCTTTGTTTACGTCCAAAGATAAAGCAGCCAAGTACATGTTTATCGTGGTAGTTACGTTCTGAAAATAACCCATGATAGGTGAAATCAGCGAAGTAGCCAACTTTATTTTTTACAATTATTACAGATGTTTTAAGGCTGTAAAACCCCTCACTACACAGTTTATACACTTTTCTCAGACAGGCATGAACATTTTCACACTTTTCTCTCGTTTAAACACTTTCAAAGTTCAAACCTTTGTAGAAAAATAAGTCCAGTATTGTAGAAACCAAAAGCACCCGCGGTTGCCTTTGACGGTGCAAAACGTTTTGTCGACAGTGTTGTGTTTGTTGGGGAGAAAACTTACAAACACAGTACAACACTTCAGAGTCACACTGCTAGCGATCGAAGATTTATTTAATTTGACAAGCTAAACACATTCTGTACTGTACAGGAGACACGGCACGAGATTGATTGACAATGGTCTATTGCCAATCAGGACGCAGAACACAATGCGCTGTAAGGAAACAAACAAAAAAATAAAAGCATGCAAAACTGCACCAAAAAAATCTGCGAAACAGCAAGGCCGCGAAAAGTCAACCACGTTATAGTGACGGACCACCGTAAATCATTGACAACAAAGAATTTATGGTCTTACAAATGATTGAAACATTCATAAACTAATACAACTGTTTCTCTTTTAATACTCCAGAATCAAGCTGAAGAAGGGATGACAACAGACACAGCTACATGTTCTTCCAACAATCAAGACAGTGGGTTTGGACGCAGTACGGACAGTCCGGAGCACCAACCACTGCTGGCTAAACTCCAAAGAAGGAGCCCAGCTCATTGCCTAAGGGAGCGGTGGCGGGCAGAGCATCCCCACACCAAGCGAGGAGCTGTTGTCCCACGGGAAAACCAGAGCACGAGAACACTGTCCACAGGCCAAGGCCACGAAGGGGTAGGGAGTGTTCGCAATAGTGGAGGTGGGATCTTAGGTTTGGAGAATCGCTTCCAGCAACTCTTGGAGCTCAAGTGTCAGATCCGAAACGGGGGTGAGTGTGGGGTGTACTCAATTCGACACAGTATAGAGTGTAGCCTTACTGAACAAGGGGGAGAGGATGCCGATTGCGTAGATGACATAGGGGGAGGGGTGGAGCAGGAGTTGAGGATGCTAAACGAGGAACTGCGCAGCATTGAGCTCGAATGCCAGAGCATTATGCAGGCCCATCAGCTTCGCCAGTCCCATCAGCAGGAGCACTCACAGCCGTCGCCCTGTTCACCAGGAAGGAGCACCAAAGATGGACACAAGCGGCACAGCAGGCTGGCTGACATTCACGAACACCCAGAGAGGTTGGAAGCCGATAAGATGCGCGAGAAGGATAGCTCCAGTGCCTACAACACAGCAGAAAGTGCACGCTCAACACCACTGGGTATGGAGAGATCTCCTGACCACTCTCTGCAGAGACACATCAGCATTACCAACCAGAAAAACCTCAGACTGGCTTCTTCAACACCCTCAAGCCCTATTCCTATCCCCAAGCCCCAGGGCACATCTAGTCGTAGCAGACAAGCAGATCCAGGTCCTGTAATCTCAAGCAGCCCTGATCAGAGCAACCCTTCCAGGTCTGAGTCGGACCCTGCTCTGCCTGCAGATGATGAGAGGTGTGAGAAGAAAGGGAGGACCAGAGAGTCAAGGAGAGGGCTTCCTTATGCTTCTTCATATCACACGACCCCTTATCATGGCCAGGGAGGATCTAAGCAACTTCAGGTATAATGCATGTGAACCTGATGCTGCTGTGGCTTTGAGTAAAGCGCATATGAAGAACACCTCGTTGTTAACCCTGTTTTCTTTGTTGCAGAGCTACATGCAACTGCTACAGCAGCATTCATCCGTGGAGTATTCGCAGAGCCAGCTGAGTCTCCTCAGTGTCTGCCGAGATCCCGTGCACCGTAACGGACGCCCTGGGGAACCACGACTAGAGTGGAAGGTCAAAGTTCGAGCTGACGGGACGCGATACGTTGCCCGGAGGCCTGCTCGTGATCGCATACTGAGGGAGAGGGCGCTAAGGATCAGAGAGGAGAGGAGTGGAGGCATGACCACAGATGATGACGCCATGAGTGAGATGAAGATGGGCCGCTACTGGAGCAAAGAGGAGAGGAAGCAGCACCTGGCACGTGCCAGGGAGCAAAGAAAGAGGAGGGAGTTTATGCAAAAGAGCCGCCTGGAGTGTTTAAAGGAGGGACCACTGAGTGGAGCTGAAGGCAGGAAGGAGATCAATATCTTGGAGCTCAGTCACAAAAAGATGATGAAGAAACGAAATAAAAAGATCCTGGATAACTGGATGACTATTCAGGAGCTGATGAGCCATGGGGCCAGAGTCCCAGAGGGCTCCAAAGTCCATAATGCCTTTCTTTCTGTCACAACTGTGTAATAAAAGATATTAAGTCAGGTAGACAGCAATCGAGGAACTACTGCTTGTTTTTTCTTCTTTTTTTTAAGTGTACATTTCTGAGATTAAATCAAATACGTTAACGCCGAAGACGTCTGTAGCATTCCCAAAGCAACTCTGGAACTAACACTTTAAGAATGTTTGAATAGTTCAACAATCAATTGCAAGACCTCGGCCATACAAACTGTTTTTTACGCTGGCATTTTGGTAATGCTCCCTGCTTCTGGTAGCGCGTTGGTTCAAACAGATTCACGTAACAGACTGAGGGACCAACACATTAACCTTGTGTATACCATGTACTGTGTCTCCATTACTCTCGTTTCTTTTGTGTCATTGCACATGAAGCGACTTCACTTGCCTCGATCGAGGTGTTTGGCTGTTTTTTTTATAATGGGGGAAATACGATATTTTTCACACAGCTTTTTGTAAAGAAATTTTTACACTGAATGTCAAAGTACTGTAAGCATTTTATTCTAATTTCTTATTTATGTTTATTACCACCAAATCGTCAATGTCAGAAGTGACACTAATTGATTGTATTGTAGCCCGCAGTGAGAGAGACCTCATTACACTGCTAAAGGACTACGACTCCACATCTAAAACCACTGCTTTTATTGTGTTGATAAAGTCACTTGAGTCAGACTTGTCTGATAAGCAGCACTGAATTTAAGGCACTGAAAGACTCAATTTTGCCATCTCAAAAGCTCATTTTGTTCATGAGCTGGGAGGGCTTTTTTGATACAGCTTTACCTCAACTTACAGAACAAACTGACCTGTCAAGTATTTGAATTTTGGGGCAAAAGGAATGGCTGACCTTCAACCCTCCCTTTGAAACATAATCGCGTGAATTGTGTTAAACATGTTAAACAGACTCTTATTTATATTGTTTACTGTCGTTTGTATTTATTGTAAATTCCTTTTTATAGTCTGTCTAAAATGTTTCGGTGCAGCTAGCCTTGAAAAGGCAACACTTTTCAAGGTGCTGTCAATGAAAATGTATAATATTTGCAGCCTTTCAACTCAGTCTGCTGTTTTCACTGTAAAGTTAATTGACGAGGCCTTGAGTTCAGTATTTGTTGATGGTGATATTTGTAATAAAAGAACAATAAGAAAAAAAATCTGTAGAAAGATATTTTTTCAGTGAGTAATCACCTCCTGTTCAACTGCATATCTACCCAAATATCTAGTAAGCCAGTCACATTCTTAGTTATCCTGCAATAGGGTTAATCTGCTGGAGACTTCCCATGATGAATTGAGCATTTCTTTTTCACTCATCATTAGCACTCATTAAAAACTCACTCTCACTACTATATATTGCTATTTGTCCTATTCTCTTGTCCTGCTCTCTTCTCTTTCCCCTCACATCCACCTGGTGGTGGATGACTGCCACTCCCTGAGCCTGCTTCTGCCAGAGGTTTCTTCTTGTTTAAAGTTATTCTTTCCCACTGTTGCTTGCTTACAGCGGGTTTTCTGATCATTGAGATTCTTCCTAATACCACGTGCTACTCCTGTCAGCTAAGAAAAGTAAACTGAGGCTACAATTTATACAGATTAATTCAGATAGTAGGATGAGAATGTGAAATAAACATGAAAGCATGGATGCATCTTGCCTTGTATTTACAGCTCACAGTGGTGGTGTAATGGAAATATGATCTCGGCACTTTTAAATCCCTTTCGTACTTACTGAATATTGTTTAACTGTCACACCCAACCTGAGTGTTTTTGCTGACCATATCGATCCCTTTATGACCATATTCTGATGGTTGTTTCCAGCAGGATAACACATCACGTCAGCTCAAATTGTCTCAAACTGGTGTCTTGTCCATGTCATTGAGTTCCTTTAGGATGTGGTGGAATACGTTGATTCATATCATGGATCTGCAGCCAGCAAATATCTCGCAAGTGTGTTATGCTGCTGTGAATTAAGGAGTTCTGAAGGTAAACGTTTTCTGGTGAGTGTATACTGGAGCAAATTTGCATTCAGTAAATTATTTCACACAGCCTTTAAAGCTGTTTTTCTAACATAATTGTTGATAATGAAACATGACTATAGCTCTGAGGATCCCAGTTGTTCTACATTCAGATAGTAAACACTATCTGACAGGTAATAAGCACTTTTTCAGTCGGAATATATCCTTACATATTCTTACACTAAACCTATTCAGTGGCATGCTCAAGAGTGGCCCTATGAAACATAAATATTAGTTCCTAAAATCAGAATACTTGACACAATTCATATCAATCATAGGGTGTTTCTACTATGCATATCTCTCCTACGTGTCAAAGAACCCCGAACACAATTTTTAGTGATTCGCTTTGAATGTCTTCTTCAAACAAACCATGCATTATGCATGCCGAGGACAGAAGTTTACATGTTTGGATTTGAGAGAGATTCTTATAAAAGTGTACTCTTTGCAGACTGCATTGTCTCCTGCAGAGAGACAACACATTTGATGTGCGCGGATGTGCATCAGGAAGCATGAGAGGAGGCGGGCGTGCTGTTTATCTGAGACTCATAATAAAGGAATGCGCTGTAGCTGGTGGAAAGTGAAGCGACTGATCGATACTGTGCAATCGGCTACACGCTCAAATCTTTGTGAAAGATCATAAAGAAATGATTGCTCAGTGAATTCATACAAGGTGAATAAATGCAGCACATGGAAAAACACCACACCTGCCTCAAGGCTTTACCAAGACTCATGATCTCCATATTCACAGGAATTCATAAAGCATTTTGATTATTTTTTTTTCCTTTGGTGTCTTCATTGCATGCATAGTAATTTAGCCTGTCGCTACAGTTTACAGTATTCATGTATTCATACCAGGATGACTGACTCACATTGTGGGGGGTGGGATATTGGTGCAAGGGATGGGTGTGTGTGTGATGGGGGTGCATGTCCATTTAGTGATAGGAGGCATCAAAGCTAAACTATACTCCCATTTCAAAGCATTAAAGAGACACCGGTGAAGTCTCCTCATTCCCTGTCAGTCTACTGTGTGTGTCCACAGCCCACTGAACTGAGGAATTAATGAGAGACATCCGAGTGACATCCCCATCACCAGGGCCTTTATGCATAACATTAAATCAGGTAAACACTGCACCTACTTTTCTCACAGCTCCCCATCTCCTCATATAATATCCAGCCAGTTTTATCTGTGTGACAGAAGTGGCACAGGAACTGAGGAATAATTCCCTGCAGTCAGCCTAGTATTATAAATGATTAATCCCAGTGTGCAAAGCAAAGATAATTGAATGTATTTGAATGTTGATCTATTACACACCAGTGGTGTTTGGTGGGCTAGGCATGAACAGGCTTGGATTTCCATACGTGTATGAAGCACAATAGCATGACCAAAAATACATAGCTTAATACTAAGCCTTGAAACTAAAGTTGCACACAAGCTTCAGGCTCTAGAGATAAGAGAATGACAAGCTTTGCCTTTTCTTCAGTGTTTCGTAAATAAGCTGTTATCACAGAAAATCCCCTCTTCAGAAGTAAACACGTCTAAAGTTTGAAGACTTTATTTTAAATGCACAGGCATGCAGACACTGAGGAAAGCTGGATGAATCAGATTCAGGTCACTGCTGATCAATATCTGGCTGTCCAACACAATCGGCACAAAGTCAGATCATATACAGATTCGGATAATGAGGGTAAATCTCACATTCAGCCCATAACACTTGAGCATCTCTCCAAGAATTTCAACTTATGCCTTAAACAACTTTCTTGCTACAATTAGATTTGAATGTCAGCACTGCTTTAATACCAGTCCAAATATACAGACAAACATAACCCAAGTATTTCATTTATTATTATCCAAATTATTCAATTATCCATTTGTCCAATCTTAACTGGCCCTATGCAGAAACTCAAGCACAATGAGAAACACAGTCACTGACATATACCAGTATGGAAAGGGTTACAAAGCCATTTCTAGGATTTTAGGACTCCAGTGAGCCACGCTGAGAGCCATTATCCACAAATGGAGAAAACGTGGAACAGTGGTGAACCTTCCTAGTAGTGGCCAAAATTACTCCAAGAGTGCATCAACAACTCATCCAGGAGGTCAAGAAAAGAACCCAGAATAACATCTAAGGAACTGCAGGCCTCACTTACCTCAGTTAAGGTCAGAGTTCATGATTCAACAATAAGAAAGAGACTGGGCAAAAATTGCATCCATGGGAAAAGACACAGAAAATTGCAAAAGAAACATTTTGATGATCTCCAAGACTTTTGGGGAAATATTCTGTGCACTGACAGAAGATAAAAGGTGGACTTTTTTGGAAGGTTTGAGTCCTGCTATATCAGCATTTCATAAAAAGAACATCACACAAAAAGTAGTGTGATGGTTTGGGCCTGCTTCTTCTCTTAATTCTTCTCTTAAAGTTCTCTTAATTCATGGATCGATGAATTCTGCTCTCTACCAGAAACATCGGAGCATCAGTTCGTGCCCCGAAGCTTGAAGTCCCTTATGCAGCAGGACAATCCGAAACACACCAGCAAGTACACATCTGAACCGAATGGCTCAAAAAAGAACACAATTTTGGAGTGGCCTAGTCCAAATTCAGACTGAAGTCTGATTGAGATGCTTTGGCATAACCTTAAACTGACATAGCTGAAAACCCTGTAGTTATTTTCAACACATTTTTTTCTATCACCAGCTTTCTGAGCATGAAGATCATTAAATACACCTTAGTTTAAACAGCAAAACTGCACTGATTATTTGCCTATGACAGAGTAACAGAATAACCAGGATCTTTTGTGTATTCTGCCAGTTCACAGTAAAAAGCTTCAACAACAAAGTTTTGGGTAACTTTCAAGGGGTCATATCACCATGTGGGTGCCTGGTCAGAACAGGTTATGGCATAAAAACCAACCAAGACAGTGTCAGAATAGTTTTCTCTCTCTAGCCTTTACTTTAATGTATTTGACCTATTTTTTGTTAATCTGTTAATTTCTTAATTAACAGATGTAATATGATATTCATTAATTTTCAATAATTCAAATAGAAACATGTACATAAAAGGGTTTAAACAAAAGGTCTCATCTATTGTTTTGCGTGATTAAATGTGGGCTTCACTGTCCAAAGGAGGAAAAACTGAACATTGTTGGTTTGAGACACTGCGGTAGCAGTAATAAGTTACGCCCTGAACACAAACACACCCACATGTATTTCATCCTGGTTCGTCTTCCTTCATTCTTCTCATCTGTCTCATTCAAATTCCAGCGGGTGAAGTGAGCAGAGTGGGCCTGCTGCTGCAGCGTAGCTCATGAAAAAGCGCGGCATCCTGCCTCTCTTTAATCTAACGATGCCTTTGAAGGAGCAGCGAGTGAGAGAAACTAGAACAAAGTCAGGTGTTCTTTGCTGTGATGCTGGTTTAGACACTGTGACAGGGGATGGGTAGCACATTATGCATGTGTTTGGATGCTCACTGTGTGTGGGTCCTTGTGTGTGATTATAGTGTACAAATAACAGGAATAAAACAGAAAATTCTCAGTTGATGCTCTATTATAATAAAGAAAAAGATTATCTTGGGAGTGAAAGCATACTTCAAGACAGAACGTTAACCAGATATCATGCACAAAATAAAATAATCAAAAAAGTTATAAAAAATAAACATTTTTGTGAGTTGTTGTTGTATACTCTCTAAATTAATGTACTGTTTTTAAAATCAAGCAATTTTTACAGATGTTATTTTTTCATATTTTGAATCACTTATTGAATGATATCATTTACCATTCACTGAGATGCCCATAAGCTTTCTTTAAAAAAGTGGATAATGTACTGGCAGAAAATTACTAGGTCATTTTCTTTTCTTTTTTTTACACATTTACAGTGTTCATAATGTGTTTTTCTTTCGTATTTACATATACGCATATTGGGGGCACTTGCCTAATCTTTAATCCTAATACTAGTAAACTGAAAGAGCTGGAGATTGAACCAATGACCTTCCTATTAGTAGTGATCCACTCTATTCCTGAGCAGGAAACAGGTGCATAAGGTGGATGTCAGAGAGAAGTCGGGGAACAATGGGAAAATGTGGGTGATAAAGAACGAAGCAAACAGTCACGCTACTCTGTTTTT